AAGTTTCAATTTTCAATTTAAATTCTAGGATGTTCACTTATTCTTTAGGTTATGAGTTGGATTCAATTTTACTTGTAGCATGTTTAATTATTAAAGCATATCTTAGTTTCCATCTTTATTTACAATTTTGATTTATTTAAATTGTTGTTTAAGTTTAATTCTTTGTTTTTGAATATTTAAATTTCAATTTTAGGTTGTTAGCTTGTTTAATTAGATTTTTGCATAAGTTAATTTTTTGTTTTAATTAGTCAAGTAGTTAATTTAGTTCTTGCATATTAGCTTTAATTTGTCTAAATATAATTAATGTATTATAATTTCGGTACTTAGTATTAACTCTATTTACAATTTTTGTGGGATTAATCTTTAGTTACTGCTTGTACGATTTGTGTACAATGGATTAAGATATGTACTATATAAATAGATACATATATTTGTGAAAACTAATAAAAAAATATTAAAAAATATTAATCTTAGTTACTTAGTAAAAAGTTTTCTATCCTAAACTCTATTTTACTCAATCATTGGGTATCCACCTAAACCTTAGGATGGGGGGTTATAGATAATTTCAATAGTTGTTCATAGACTATATTAAAGAAGTTATATAAAGAGTATAATTTATAACATATATAAAATCTATCCCCTAACATGTCTAATATATGACACATAACTAATGTAAAAAAAAGAGATGAAGGGGTAATTGAGGGAACAAAAGCTTCTCTAGAAGCTTTTCTCTTCTTTTCCTAAATTTTTATCATCTCCTTTATCTTAAAAAACAAGAAGAAAGTTCTAGGGAACTCAATCTATCATTGACAAGAAATCCAACTCAAAATGAAAATTAAAAACCCTTCAATCTCATGCCACTGTAGTTATCTTACTCTTTTTTTTTAGTATTATTGAAATAAATTAAAGCTATCCATAAGCTTCCCAAAGATGGAGGTAGTCACCAAATGAAGAGACAGGTTGGGTAATTTTCCTTTCACCTTTTTTATTTTCTTTGTACGTTTAGTTTTCCTATATAGTGAACTTTTGATAAAAATTTTTTGGGTTTAATAGAGGTAGTCGTCAGATGAAGCAAGAAGTTATAAGAAGGGAGAGGAAAGGTTTTCGGTTGGTAATTTTTCTTTCACCTTTTTTATTTTTTTTATGCTATATATATATTTTGTTTTGCTTTGCATGCAATTATTTTAAGAAAAAGAATCAGTTTTCTCATATTTTAAACTTTTGATAAAACTTTTTTGGGGTTTAATCAAAATAATAATTATTGAAATAAGGTAAATTTGAATGAAAAATGTATATTTATTAGTTGAAATTTTTCTTTATTTTTAGACAAAATTGATGTGTTGAAAGATTGGGTTGCATCTGAAGGTATCCAAATGTGTTTTCTTCTATTTTTTTTTGTCTTTGGTCATTTATTTTTGCATTATAACAACTATTCCTTTGATTTTTGTGCAACAAAATATTGAAGAACAAAACTTTCCTTTTATTTTCATTTCAGCGTAATGCCAACTAAAAGATTTGCTTGGTTGACTATGTTTTTCTTTTCTGCTACTAGAAAATAGAACCCCTGATCTGAACTTCCGTCTAAAAAATGTCTAGGTAAATGATAATCTATTACTTTGTAATGGGTCAAGGGAATGTTAGTAGAATCAATGGTATTTCAATAAAATTTTATTTGGTTTTTACGTTTGTTTTAGTATCTCTATACACCATATGGCTTCAAGTTGCTTGCATTTTCATTATGTAGATGCGTCTTCAACTCACTAAAGGTTTAGAAGCTTCTAGATGGAAAGTTTGTATAACATCAAGGAAAAAGCAAGAAAAAGTAGAAGGGAGCATGAAAGAATTTAAAAAAACAAAGCAAAATAGGAAGAGAAAGTATATGGCAGCTTCTAGAGGAAAAAGGATTAGGAAAACAAAAAAACAGAGAAGAGAAAGGTTGAAAGTAGATCAAGCCAAAAATTAACTGTGGTTAGAGTTAGTCTAAAAGATCAATCCTGATCTGCCATTCTATGGCTAGATTGGATGCAAGCTTTCAATCAGTGTGGATTTTTAGGTTGATCTACAAACTAGTGAAGAAAGAAAAATGATTTTTCTTAAGTTAAATATATATTTTTTACATTTATCTGATTATTGTTTCAATTTTAGCAACTAATATCTTTAAATGTTAACTCTTTCCTTCAAAAAAATTATCTTGCTTATTTTTTTTCCTTATTGTCTTACTTTTTCTAATTCATAAAAAATTTTTTCTTATAAATTTATACTTTTTAATCATTTCCTCAAATCTCCGTTTTCCTATTAACCAAGTTGACAAGTTTTAAAAATTTCATGGAATATTGAAACATATATTTTACTTTATAGTTATTGGCCTTGAATTGATCCTTATTTTGAAACAACAAAATATTAAGCTAAATAAGCTTGATTAAGATTTTGAAAAATATTTATTTAGTACATGTTCTTAAGTTTTATTATTTTTGGTACTAAATAAATAATATAATTTTTAAAGTTTAAACAAACCTTTCTTTATGTTTTCTTAGTTCTCAAATCAAAACTATCTTTAAACATTATTTATTTGAGCTTAAATGAAAGTTTAATTGTTGTTTTTAAAGTGAATTTATTAATTTTAGACTCAATACAATTTTAATAATATTGGTTTTGAGAAATAGATTAACTTTAGAAAGTTGTTTTACAAGAATAAAGTTTTCCAACATTAAACTAGTTTTATTTTTTTGTATTAATTTATAAGTTCTAATATTTGAATTTTATATGGTTGAAAACTCTTTGAGTCTACTTTCTAATGGATCAAACAAAATCAAAATCCAAATTTTTTAAGAAAAGATTTTGAATTTTTACTAGACACTTTGCAATTGTCTAAAAACTGCATAAAGAATCATTTTAAAAAGTCATAATAATTCGTATACAATTAATTAAGTGATGAATTTTATATGGGTAGAAATCCCTTTAAGTCTAATTTCTAAATCTTTAAATGGTTTTTGATTTGGAATTGTATAATTCAAGATATGATCAAATTAGTGAGTAAAGTACAAAACAGGATACAACTGCCCAACTTGACCGGATTGATCCCTAGGTTACAGGATTGATCCCCTAGCTAAACCAATCCATCCTCTCTTATAATGGATTGATTGCTTTTTCTTACAAAAACAAAATAGATTTGAAAAACACTAAAAAGAATCGATCCCTTACAAGAAAGGATCGATCGGTAAGGCACATGAAAAATCCTCTACCAAAACCAATCAATCCCCTCAATTGTAATAGTAAAAAATGAAGTGAAATTCCAAGAAGGGATTGATCCCCTCCAAGAAGGGATCAATCCCCTATGCCCAAAAACACTCAAATGGCTAGTTTATCAAGCTTCAATAGCTATTTTTAACTCCAAACTATCCCCAAATGACTAGTTTCTAATATCTCTATATATTGGCCATTCCAACACACTAAGAAGATTGATGGATCAAGAGAGTAAGATCAAACAAGTCATATATTCTTTCTCTCAAAGAAATCAAGAGTTTTAGAGCTTTAAAGTCTATATCTTTATATTTATTGTATCTAAATCGTATTTGTTGTCCATTTATCATTTTCTTGTACTTAAACTTAGCAAAAACCTAGCTTTATAGATGTTATTCTATTATTTGCAAAATTACTTTTGATCTATACAAAGATGGAAGAGAACAAGAGGTGAGGTATCTTCTTGAGAGCTTTATCATGAGATTGGGTAAAATACTACAAAGGGTAGGGGTTTCTATTTTTAGCCTTAAAAGAGAAAAAAATAGGGTTGTATTTTCAATTCAAGATTAGTGGATTGAAGTCTTGGTATGGACAATCAAGAAGAGAGGATGTGGGTACCTTATGGAGAATGATTGAACCTCTATATATCTTTGTGTTTGATTTCTTTATCCCTACCTTTTTATTTTCATTGTTGATTATATTTACTTCTAGATATATCAATTGTTGTCATTTGCATCATATTTTGATATTATTTTAATTTTCTATTTAATTATCTTGAAATCATTGTGTGGAAAGAACTTGGAGAAATCCAATTCACCCTTTCTTGAATTACCATCTCACCTAAAAGGCTAACAATAGTCATCATTATTCTTCATGTTTTTAAAAACATGTCGTGATCAAGCTTTGATGCACCATTGTTTGCTCTAAAATTGAATAGTGCAAATCTCTTTACAAGTTTGTTTTATGTGAGAAATTAAAGTGGTTTGCAGAATATGAGGAAAAGCATGATGTCGAGAGAGTGGGAAAGGGAATGAGTGTGGACTCATGCTTTGTGATTGTGATACTTTCCAGATTGGAGACATCATCCAATGTTTGGAGCAAATGGTTAGGAATCCAAGTTCATTTCATCAGAGAGTGGGGCTGTTCAAATTGAGTGCTGAAACCACTTTTGATAGTGAAATTTTCTGACATAGGATACAGATACTCCCACCATTGGCGCTTTGATTTGTTTGCCCTTGCAATTCTACATTGAAATTCATGCAACGCCTTGCTTTACTACCAGGTTTGCTTTGTGTTTAGAGTATGAACAACTCAAGGATCAAATCCTGCCAATTTAAGGCCCTGCCTAATAGCAGTTGCAATTTAATCTGGAATTTGTCAGTTTTGGAAGGCCATAGTGATTATTTATAAACAAATTTTGTATACGTGATAAACTTCCTGATAAATATAAGGCAAAAAAAGGACATGCAATTCACCTTTTAGTTACGCTACATGTTTAATTGCAAATGGAATTAAATTTTGTATACTGTGTGTATGATTCATCACTTTAACATTCATGCTGATGTAGGCTCATCTAGGCCTAAGCATTCTATTTTCTTAGATCATTGGAACCCAGCTTTGACATGGGATAAAGGCTTGATTGCATCATCACACCAAAAGCATCATGCGGGCATAATTTCAGCTTCTTGCCAACCTAAAATCATTGACTTTTTAAGTTGATAAAATTTCCTTAATCAATCAGTTTAATTAACCTATGCCTTTGTCTTGTCTAATCATTTTTTTTTATTGTATTTCTCGCCTGCGCCAATGACTTCTGAATTCAAAGGACTTTACCTGGATTTATAGGCATTGAAATTGATTCTTGATAAACTTCAGAAGTGAGTCTTGAACCTTCCTTTTCTCTCCCTCTCTATCTGTTTTTCTTTTCCCTTCTCAACTTGGTGTTGGTTATTCTGAGTTGGGTGTGAATTGTTGCAGGAAAGACATTTATGGTGTGTTTGCTGAACTAGTTAATCCTGAAGAGGTAAGCAAAATTTGTTGAGGAAGTGCTTTTAGAGTTTGATTTAATTTATCTTAGTAAGTTTTGATGGATTTTGCAACTTCCTAACTACCACCATGTGACTGAGCATCCAATGGACTTTGCCACGGTGAGGAAGTTGGGCAATGGGATATATTCTACAATGGAACAATTTGAGGAACGTAATTATGGTTCTAACAAGCTTGGTTTATGTAGCTGCAGTTCTCTTAGGGTAAGGTTTTTTGTTAGGACAATTCCAAAGTGTATTTCAGATGTTTCCAATTTAGTTCTTATGGTGTTTCGTTGGTTCCGTAATTTCAGTTTTCTTGTGGCTTGCATCAGTTCTTTGTAAGGAGGTGTTACTTTCTCTATCAGCTGAGGTAATTAATTGTAAGATGCTCTTTCTAGAAGACAAAATATCAAAAAGTATCACCACTTTATGTATCAATGTCAGGTAATTGAGGTTGCTCCCACAAATTGTGTTATTGAAATATCAAAATCTGCATGATGATGTTCGTAGAATACCAAGAAAAGGTATTTTTTCGTTTACAAAATGTAAGTGCATGTAGTATGTTTTGTGATTCTACTTTGTTTATTTTAACCTTTATTTCTTATATACAGAAACAAGTTAAATGCGTATTATTTATGTTTCTGCAGATTGCAAACGGCACAAATGATGTTTACAAAACTGCTGAGGCAGTTAAACCTTTTGGTGGAAAAATTACCTGGGAACCTGGACCTTCGCCTGGTATTAACACCGAGATCACTGCATGCTTAGATCCTGATGGTTGGAAGACGGTATGCTTTTTGAAGCTTTTATACATTGTGTTATTTGAATCTGAAAATTTACTTTGAATTGTTTATCATTCATCTATATCACCAATATCTCAAAAAAGAAAAAAGAATACCAAGAATGTCTGCTCATTCATGTGCATAATTAAATAGCAAAGTGAACACCGACTTTATTAGCTTTATGGAGAAAAGTTTTTATTTGTAATTAATGCATGTTTTAATTGTTTTTGCCTAGGATTATGAGGCAACTTGCTTTATTATAATTGACTTACTTTGCTATTTAATTATGCAAGTTTCTGTTGATAATATTGATTTCCTCAAGGTATTGGAGTGAGTTTTGGGTTTACTCTGATATTATTTCTATTAACTCATAAACCAATTTAGAAATGCGTTAGTTTACAGCTGCTTCATGCAGATAAGTTGAAAGTCCTATGCTCCTTAAAAAATTTAAATCAATCATTATAATTATTTAGAATTATACTTATACATCATGCGGATTTAATTTTTAAAAAAATTTGTAAATTTGTAGTGTCTCATGATTGATGAAGCTGATAGGATATTGCAAGTGAATTTTGAGGAAGAAACGAAGCAAATTATGAAGTATCCTCCTAAGGTGAATCTTTTATGCTATTTATTTTGTTGATTAGAGTGACATCAACATTTTATGATTATGTCATTTAATTCGTCTCTAGGACTGCTGAAAGTGAAATGGACGGAAGCCAAAATAGTGGTACTAACATTCTTTATTAACTGCTGCTGCTAAGTTGTCTGAAGAGGTCAAATTCATTCGAAGCTTTTTTTATTTATGCATTGCCGTTCTTTTAGATAGATCGCTAAAAAAATTTTTTTTGTTTTTAAATTGCTAAAAATAGTTCTACTTATTTTAGCTTTATGACGAATTCAAGAAATTGAAGGTAGGTTGTTGCAAATTACTTATAAGTTGGTTTCTGTTTTAATCTAATAATAAAAGGTTAGCTCAATTTTGCCAGCGAGTGGCATTAAGATCAATCGAATGATAAAATTTATTTAGGGGTTGCTATCATTTTGTTATGCATCTTGGAGCATCACTAGATTGAAGAAATAGGTTGGATCAATGAGTAATTTGTTTATCTTTATATGTTATTTCCATTCACAGTTGAGAAGTATTCCTATTGTTAATTTCTAAGCAATACGGATTAAGTTACATAATTCCTTTTTCTTTTATATATTATTTAATATTTAAATTATTAATGTTAATAAAAAGTCTCGAAGCGAAACAAGAGCATCCTCCTAGTAAGAACAACTAAATCCTTGAAGATTGGAGAGACAAGCATCAATAAATTAATCTTAAAAATTCAAATTGGCATTGGAATTAGATAATCCTAAATTTACTAATATTTATACAAATATATAAATACAACCGATTACAAAACAACTTATTTACTAAGAATTAAACTAATACCAACTCAAGCCACAATTGTCAATAATGAAAATTAAGTGACAGGACACCAGGAGAGCCGTGATAACTCTTAATAAGACCAAGTTTTTTGCTTTTGGTGTAGGGTTTGTGGCTGAGAGGAGTGAGGCCTAGAGCAAAGAAACGCAAATATAAGAATGGAAAAAGATACGCTTCTTCGACGTTTTAACAACAAAAATAAAGGTTAGCTATTTGCCTTTTGACAAAAAAAAAAAAAAATGTAACAAAACTCAATATAATTTTTTTCCCTAAACCTTATCCCACTTAGAAAGGCCAGTTGCTGTATTTCCTAAAAAGGGGCATGGCTTTGGTTAATCCTTCCTGTTTTTGTTTGGTAATGCCCGCTGACGTCTACCCTCTATGGATACTGGTCATTTTTCAAGGCAAACATGTGGTAAGTTTATTTGTTTGCTAAATCAATATCAAGTCTTGATTCGGCAGGGGCAGGGGCAGCCTTCTCTAATCACTTTTCCTACATTTTATTTTATTTATTTATTTATGGCTTTGTTCTGCAATTTTATAACTATTAAAAAAAAAAAAAAAAAGTCTCAAATTGGTGCTTAAAAATATACTACTAGTAGTTGCAACAATCTCCAAAACCCTTTATTGATGGGGGCAAAAATAAAGTTCCTGTAGCTGCAGTTTCTTATTTTTACAATGGCTGCAACAGCATCAATTGCAACTTCATCACTGCTATTAGCGTCCTCTCTGAGGAAAACCTATCTCAATATCTTTCCCACCCAATTACCTTCTCCCGCTGCTTGTAGCAACCAATCTCTTTTCAGGTCAAGTTTTCAAAACGGGCAGCATAATCCTCTTCCTTTGACCAAAACAAGAGCTTCCTCAAATGGGTTTCTTGATACAGCTTATACAAGCAGAGAAGAGGAGATTTTACCTTTTTCTGAGGCGAAGCCATTGAAATTCCTCGTCTGGGTTGTGTTCTGGGCTTCCTTATCTCTAGTTTGGTATGCTGCGTCTGGGGATGCTAATGCCGCTACTGCTGCTGCTGACTCCATTAGAGCTTCCGGCTTTGGCCTCAAGATTGCTAGTGCTTTGCGTGGCTCGGGCTGGCCCGATGAGGCTGTGGTGTTTACTCTTGCAACACTTCCTATTCTTGAGCTTCGAGGAGCTATTCCTGTTGGTTACTGGATGCAACTCAAGCCTACACTCTTGACAATCTTATCAATTCTTGGGTTAGCCTCATTTTCTTTCTTGTTAGTTCGGGATTTTTTAAGTTTTCATTTCATTTTAGCTTTATTGTTGTGACGAATTTTGATTCAAACCAGTTTATTTGTGGTATTTGTTTGCCTTCAATCGTTTCCATGAAATGCGTACTTGTCACTAATATTTTAAGCCAAGATAGCATGTTTCTTTTGAATAATATTTAATGTAATGAGTGTACTTGCAATTAGATAGTACTAAGACTTAACAATTAGTTTGTTATTCATGATTATCTTGGGAAATTAATAAGTTGATGATAAGTTTACAAAATTTATTATTTGACTGCAGGAATATGGTTCCAGTGCCCTTCATTATACTTTACCTTAAGAGATTTGCTACTTTTCTTGCTGGAAAGAACCAGTCTGCATCTCGGTTGCTTAACATGGTGTTTGAGAAGGCCAAACAGAAGGCTGGTCCTGTGGAAGAATTTCAATGGCTTGGGCTGATGCTTTTTGTGGCTGTTCCTTTCCCTGGAACAGGAGCATGGACTGGAGCCATCATAGCTTCTATTCTTGATATGCCCTTCTGGTCAGCTGTATCAGCCAATTTCTTTGGTGTTGTGTTGGCTGGGCTTCTGGTAAACTTGGTGGTGAACCTGGGTCTCAAGTATGCCATTGTTACTGGTATCGTACTCTTCTTTATATCCACTTTTATGTGGAGTATCCTTCGGAATATTAAGAAATCTTTGTTCTCATCAAACTAATGTTGAATTACTTATTGAAGTAGGTTTTTTTTTTGCTTTTCCATCTAAACAGAAAATAACTCTCTGATCCTTGGGTTTTGATTTGTATGATTCATCTATTAGAATCTTAAGGAGCTTTCTCTTAAATGCAAACTTTTATTCAATTTAGATTGTGATTTTTAGGAGCAGAGACTCAGAAGTATATATGGTCTTTGGAAATTATAGGCAAAGGAATAAGAAATGAGCCTTTCTGCAGGTTGGACATTATTATATTTGGACAATGCCTATAATGGGAAAATGCCATTTTTCAAACCATAGAATCACAATATGCATAATTATATCCAGCTATAATTCATATTCCGGCATGAAGACTGTTGAGGAAACAGTCTTTAAAAAGACAATTTAACAGCCATAAACCATATGATTATATTCTTTCTCACAAAGTTCATAATTTGCAGTTATTTAGTCCATCTTGGATCACTATTTCCACAACGTATAAAATACTATAATTGGCTTGTTTAATTTGTTGCATTTTTAACCTCTGTAGTGTAAGGTGTTTAATTGTTTGGTAATATTTGGATCTTGCTTCAGTCTTTGTGATATTGAATGAAAAGCTAGCCAATTTGTACCTAGACTTCAATAGAGGTTGGAGAAATTAGTTGTCTGATTTTCCAACACCCTTTTCCATGCCAACTATATCATATAAAGGTTCCTGATCCATAATCGGTCAGTTTAATTAGGATGGTTGATCTCTCTCTCTCTCGTGTTTATTTAGATACTGAATCTTTTAAAACTATTTGAGTAAGTTATTATTTGCTACTATAATTTGGTTAGGGCAATATAATAATTGACACAAGTCCGAATATGGTGCAAAGTGAACACTGTTATTTATTTAGTATAGAGCATTTTTTTTTCTGTTGTTGTAGATAAGATTGGTTTAGTTGAAGTTCCTGATAAGGAAAGAAAGAGTGTGGTAAAGTCAACACATTACCTCAAGTGGAGAAATGAAAATTATAATTGGATGAGAAACTCCTGGAACCTTCGGCTTGTAGATTCTGTTAATCTAGAGGTACAAGGCAGGTGTAATCTCTACAAGGCAGAGATTAATATTATTAGGGAGACTTACATTCACACCACATACGTTCCTGCTGTGTCCCTATCTTTTCTCATGACTAAGAAAGCACATTATTGAGATCATAAATTCAATTTTTATGCCTGTTGAGTGATGGCTGATCTTATAGTTTTAGGTTCTCTTAGATGGAGTTATGCTCTGATACTGTCAATTCTTCACTTTTTTCTCCTGAAAATTTTGTGGAACTGCAGAATCAAGTTGAGAATGTAATGATTGGTGATGAGTCTGAGAACTCTCTTATGGTAATAAGTTCCCAGTTGGTATGCATGCTTAGTTGGAGTCTTTCAAATATTCAGTGTAATGATGTGGTCTTTCGGAGTGAGTTTTCTTTTTCTCAATGAGTCTATATTCATAGTTCTAACCCTTGATACACATATAAACAAGGGATTAAGTAGTACCAATGTTAAAATTATGCTTCAACTTTGTCTTTGAGTTTTACCTCCTTAACTTAAACCATCTTTCTTTGAAGTCCATCTTGCCTTTTGTTTGGGTAAAAATATCAAAGAAATTTCTTCTCTTTTTAAGCATCTTCTTTGACATTAAGTTATGAAAATAAATAGTCAGTTACCTAATGTCAGGCAGCTTTCGCTTCTCTAGGGTTGTGAGCAAACCATTTTATTTTTTGAATGATTTATGAACAACAGCTTGCTAATCCTCACTTGTTGAGATAAACAAGCTGGTTTTCATTAAAAGTTTTGATCATATTGCTTGTTACTACCTTTGAAATAGAATATTCTTCCACATACTCGAATTAGACTAGGTGTGCAAAATGAATTAATATGCATAAATATCTTAACTGGGTGGAAATAAATTGGCCAATTGTTATATTATTATTACTATTTTATAATTGCTGAGTACCAACAGTAACCATCTATGATATCAGTGGTATGTCTCCTCATCTAATGCCATTCTTACTAGGAGTTTATTGGCTGATTATCTCATACGGTTGAAATGTGGGTTTAACCTTTTGATTGAACAAGGTAAAATGCAACTGGGCTTCTTTTCATCCCTTCCCTTGTTTCAGGTGCTTTGATTGGGTGGGAACTTCATATGCTTAAACTCGATAAACAATCATCCTTTCTGAGCTGGATTGCCTGCCCAATCTCCTCCCAAGTTGTCCTTGAAAGAGGGAGGCAAGGTATTTGGGAAATTAAAGTACATTTCCACTGCTGTGATAGGTGAAGCTTTCGAATAACTCACATATCTGACTCACATCTAGAAACTATATAGTAGCAATTTGTTTAGATAATTCTCCGACCAGATAGATTATACAAGTTATTTTGCTAATTAGTTGCTTCAGCAATAGAGAGAGAGAAGCTGTAAGATATTGCCATTTTCCATAAGGACTTTGGCAGTTCTGAGTTTTCTCGTCATGTTTTGTGTGGTTTCAGATGTTACTTGCCATTAATCAAATTGGCTTTGACCAACAGAACGTCTGAAATGCCAAAGATTGAACAACAACGTATGTTTCAATCTTTGCTTAATTTCCACTTTAGAGGGATGGCTGAGTTCAAAGTACGTTAAACCGGCTTGGCTTGTTTCAGCAGCTTTCTTTTCTAAAATTGTTGAATGTGAGATCTAATAACTTCATAAATAACATGTGACACAATACGAAAATGGTATGTGTTTTAAAAAAAATCTCTTATTTATTTGTATTAATACGAATTTTGACATGAGACAATTTGTGTCTTATATGTGTTGACACATTTAAATGTATATAACACACAAAAAATATATTTAGATAAAACGTATCATACAACTATATGTTTAATACATAACACAACAAGAAAAACATATTTAATTTAATCGTATCATATGAGTATATGTTTAACAAGTTTAACATAGTTTTTATATTTATTTTAATTCAATATAAATGTAAAAAAATTATTTTAATTTTTAATCTTTTAATTATGGTATCTAATTAGCTATTCAATGGAATATAAAGATTATTTTAAACATTTAATTATAATATTCATTTAATAATTATTATAAAATTATTTTTTTATATTAATAGTATGAATCTAATATAAATAATAATATTAGTCTGATGCATTATTATTTTATTTTTTAATCTTTAGTAGTTCTTTATATTGGATTTGATATTAAAAACTAGTATAGTTATGTATATATTTATCATTGTTTTATTTGTAATGTATATATTAAATTTAAGTATATATATTAAATGCATATTAAATGGGTATCAAATTTTTATACTTTTTAATATATAAGTACTTTTTTATGTTAATAATGTATATATTACACATATATAAATCTTAACACATTAAATATATATTGTTCTTTGTAACTTTTTGTAATAATATTAAAAAAAGTTTTTCATTAAAAAAAGAATTGAAAAAGTCAATATACACTTAATTATAAATAGCAAGTAACATCTAATATTATGGTTATTGATTTAAGCATCGCAAATTCAACTCACATGAATATACAATAATAGATTATACTAATATTAAATAATATTTATAATGGTAAGAAACTATATGATCCTCTTAATAATATGAATCATGATATTGATTATTTTAAATTATAAGAGTTAAAATAAGAGATTATACATTTGAAATTAAAAATAACACATTCTAAATAATATGCATAAAGATAAAAATTAAATGATTTATTCTATATTACATGATATGATATTATTAAAATGTAATTAATTATAAATTATTACTATAAATGCACATCTCGATGACCTATGTTAAATATTTTATTTTAAATCATATGACAAGAGCTTATACATTTGAAATTAAACATAACGTATTTATTCTAAATAATATTTAAAATGATAAAATATTATATAATTTATATTTTTATATCACATGATAAAGTATTATTATAAATGTAATGTATATACTTATCTTAATGACTTGTTTTATATATTTTATTTTAAAATCTAAATCACATCATATGATACTCATATATAATCATAAGAGATTATATAATTTATTCTAAATCATATGTCTATGAGTATACCCATGATAATTAAAATACGTAATTTATTTTAATTATATTATAACGTATAAAAAATTATTATAAATACCATAAATATATTAATTTGATTATAAAAATATATATTAGTTTGATATTTTTTAATAATTTTAATAAGTTATTAAAATTTTTTTACAAATAAGTCATGCTAATTAAGTAATTATTGAAAATATATAGTAATATTTACATATTAGTTAAAAAAATAATTCTAGTATCAATATATTAATATTGTATATAGGGAAAAACGAAAAAAAAAAGTATAAAAAAATATAGCTTTTAGAATCAACTTTTTATCATATATACATATATGATAATTATATATTCATATTCATATTTTTATTTGATTATTTATTTGTTTTGAATAGATTGACCTAGTAGGCTAGTATGCATTATTTGTTGAGTTGGGTATGATGTTTGATGAAATGTTGGTATCTACTATCTACTAGGTATTGACTTGGATATTTATAAATTATTTTGCTATTTTAAATATATATTATGAAGCATGGAATGGATTGAAGATATTATTTTTTTTAATGTAAGTTTATGTTTAATGTTTTTAGTGAAACTTATCACTTATAAAGGTTAGAGATTTAGACTTAATATAGTGTAATTTACACTATGTAAATGTATAATAAGGTGTAAGCTATTCACTATTATTTAGAGTTTTGTGTCTTAGAAATTTAGTATTTAGTCTTACTTGACTAATGCTCAATTGTAATTAGTAAGTTGTAAATGATAGATAGTTTATAGTTGCTTATTATTCTAGCTGTATTTTTGTATATATTTGTGTTAGTTGCGTCTATTCATGTATATTTGTGTTATTCATGTCATGTTTAAATGGATTAATTATACATATTTAAGTCATGTCATGTTGCATGTAATAGTATAATAAACGTATTGTATTCATGTTTAGGATTTAAACACATTTTATAATTCATATTGTGTTCATGTGTTAATAATTTGTGTCATTACATGTGTCAAACATGACATGAGATATGATATAAAAACACAAATTATCACTTATATTGAATATGCTATAGCATCATTTGCACCAGCCAATTTTTTTGGTTGGTAGATCACTGGTTTACACGTAGGCTAACCAGAATAAATTTGCACCAAAATTCTTTCTTTTCTTTCTTGATTTGGAAAGATCAAGGAAATGAGTCCAACTGTGTACTAATAAAATAACAATTGGCTTTGCTACCTTACAAAATTTTTTAATATATAACTATCTCACATTTTCACATGGAATAGGATTGAATTATCAAATATGTACATTCGAGACATAATTCAATGATTCAATCATTCACAATTTACTCATCTAAGAAAATTATCACAAATCAAGAAATTAAGAAAAAAATCATTATAAAAAATATTCTTGATGTATATGAAATTTGGTACAAATTAATTAGCATCAAATTTGAAATTGATATTAAGAATTGACGCCTTTTCTCATCTCATTATAACATTCAAGTGGAAGTTACCATTAGCATTAAAAATGATCAAACAAAAAAAATATCGAAACCTTTACTGAATTTTTAACTAGATTGTGGAGTAAAAATGCCTTAACAAAAATCAGATCCACTGAAAAAGATCAAGTTCGGATAATGATAAAGAACCTCATCCCAATCTATTATGACCAATTCTTTGTCCTATCTTTAGCCACTTTTGAATAGTTATATGACTCAAGCATTCAAGTAGAGAAAGCCTTGCTAGAGGATTGTGAAGTTGAAAATGCTTTATTAGAATATTCAAGTGTAGATGAAGACGAAGCAAATGTAAGTAATTTGTAACATTTTCTCGATAGATGCCAATGACATTCTAGACTCTCTTCTGTACTAATTTTTCACATTCATAAATAAAATTTAGTTGTTTGATACTCAATATTGTTTTGAAAAATTTTATGTGATGACCCTTCTTCAAGTGATCATTATTAAGTTTGTGTTAAAAATTATTTTTTTAAGCCTCTATTCGAATCGAGAAGAGGTAAGAAAAAGAAAAAGTAAGGAAAGTAAGAGAAACAAAAGGTTTTACCATCGTTAAAAAAAAAATTCTAGTACTCTGTTATAACTTGGGTTTAGAAAAACATGAAAAATTTAGGAAAGGCTTTAAGGCGTGTAATGATGCCACTTTCTTTAAAGTTTTATTTGCCCACATCACTTGATTAATTGATATGCAAAAGAGTTACTAGTGATAAACCTCGAAGATATAATGAAGACCAATGATTGACTACATTTTGTATTGACGAAATCAATCCACCGAGCGATCACTGACATAAGAATAGAATTATTTGATTTTTCTATAGAAAATATGTGGGACTTTTTCTACTTTTGTTTCATATGCATAATATTTCTATGTGATAATTTATCTTGTATCTTCTAAAAACCAAAATAATTCTATTTATAATTATATAGAAATCTCTTTGTACAGACATAACTGTCTATAAAGATACTTATTTGTATAGACGCAACTCTTTATAAGACATAACTCTTAGTAAATAATTATGTCATTTAAGGAGATATAACCTTTTACTACAACATGTAATTCACGTGATTTATTATTTTGAAAATGTTCTAACAATCTTTTACCATTTTCAAAATAAACCAAATATTTGATAATTCTGGAAATCTTTCACATAAATAAAGGTATATTTTGATTTAAACCCTCACTTAGTGACAACAAGTTAAAGTTAATCGAAATTGCATGGTAGACTATGCTTTGAACCAGCTATTACATTTGGTTAATTGAACTTATCTCACACGAAAGATTTCTACACCCAATAAATGTTCGTTATCTTAGGACACTATTTTGGTCATGTGTTTGCATCTTTTTTTCATGAGTGTTGTTGGAGCCAAGCCTTTGAACTCCTAAAAAAGGATCACACTCCACACTCACATAGGTAGCTCCTATCAAGAGTGTTCCTGTAACTATAACACTCTAACATATCTATGTTATGGGTCTATTAAGAGTGTAACCTAATCTTTTCCTTATCATTATGGCTACCAAGCACTTTACTTGGAATGAAAATATATGATTATAGTGATTGCAATTACATACAGATGATGTACTTTGGCTTTTTGAACTCAAGACTTGACATTATACCAAGCTTTGAGTAGAGTTTTCATCATGGGTGACTTCATTTTATAGGCTTGAACCTCATCCCCAAATTTCCAACATAGTTATAGTACTTTTTCATACCAAATGGTGAAATTTTAACTTATTTTATCCTAAAGGTTTATAAAACCAATACCCCCACCATGTATGTATATCCATTCTTTAAAGCATGCTTTTCTCATAGTAATTCAACTATTATGGATATCCTTTGTACAATTATCATAAATTCTTTTAGTTCAAAGTGATCACTTTATCGTTATTTTTGTCATAATGGTTTCACATTTGTCCATTTTATGTATTTCTTGATTTCCCAAGAAATCAATGTCATTGCCACCAAGTTATGAACCATACATCATATTGTTTTTTCACTAAGTAAATTACTATAAAGAGGCCTCAAATCCCTTAGTGCAAAAAGACAACCTTTTTGTGATATATATATATATATATATATAAATATTAACATTACTTTTCGTTAACAAATTACATATATACACAAAGGTGATTCACATATCATTTTTAGAATATGGTCATTTTAGAAGATCATCAATAAACTTATCAA